AAAAAAAAAAAAAAAGATAAATGACACAAGGTAGCTTGATCGATCAGTCGAATGGTCGATTGACCATCTACATTGGATTGATCGGTCGATCGATTGGTTGATCAATCGATTAGAGGAGAAAAAAAAAAAAGAATTAGACAAGGTCGCTTGATCGATCAATCGAATGGTCAACCGACCAACTACATTGGATCGATCGGTCGATCATTTGGTTAATTAATCGATCAATCGATTGATTGACAGATCAATTCATTGGTCGGCCGATCAATCAATCAATCGATCAATCGATTGGTCGATCGATAGATTGATCGATCATCCAAATCACTCATCAGTCTATCGAACGATCTGATTGGATTGTTCGCTTAACCAATCGATTGATAGATCACACATATCTTACCATGAGCCTCCAGCTTGATCATCTGAACAGATCATCCCAATCATTATATCGGTCCACTTCGAATGATACGATGTATGCTTGCCCTACCCTCATCTCATTGCATGTCAAGATCAGGACGACGAATGTTGTACATGGTTTTGTAACAAATCAGAATCAAACGCTTACCAACCAATCGACCAATCACCCAAATCATCATCAGACCAGAACGGAGGATATCATATCACCCTCCATGAACGACTACTCACCCTCCATCTTGTTTTTTCTGCATGCATTTTGGGCGTCACTAGTTTGCACTCTTCTTGAAAGTTAGGATGTATGCTTACCATACCTTCATCTCATTCCATGTCAAAATCGTGAAATCGAATGTTGTTTATGAATTTAACAATAAAATACCGTTCTTTACCTCGCCACGTACTCCCGTTAGAAGACTTCGACATTTTTTATTCGTCCCCTGATTTTAGGGTAAATACTCATTCCAACGAATATCAGCCCTCTCTATGACCAATCGATCGGTTGATTGATCGGTCATCTAAATCATCAGGTCGGTCTATTGACCAATCTGATTGGATTGATCGGTCGACCAATCCATTGATTGATCGCAAAACTTGGGCATTTTCTTTCTCATCCCCTGTTCATAATTTCCTGATTTGAGCATTTATCCTCTGATCACTCGATCAATCGATCAAAATATTTCATTGGATTGATTGATTAACCAATCAATTGATCAATCACTCAATTGATTAGTTCACCATTCGATTGATCGGACACTCAATTATTTGATCTATCAATCAATTGATCAATATATTGCATCTGTATTTATACTTCTTTGTCCTCAAAACATGTTAAAACCACCTTAGCAAGGTTGCTACCTAATGTCCTTCGTTGATGGTACTAGGACAAATGCTTACTTTAACAACAAATCAGCTCTTCCTATCATCCACCATATCGGTCTCTC